ATACTACAATGCTATATTTCTTATCTAAGAGGGTGGTCACTACCTAGACTGCAGTAACTGGATGGCGCAAGGTCAAGATGTCATTTTGAATATTGGTTTTGGATGAGACAGGGAGCTGATGCTCAATTTCTTGATTAGCCTGGCAAAGCAGTCTCACGCAGAAGAAGTTTCTCATAATCAGTTGCAATGCGTTAATTCCATTATCAACAAGGGTTACATTAAGTAATTGGCACAGACGACCACGTGCAATTATATTAACTCAGACTCCCGATGCAACAACAGCGCGCTGACTTAGCGACTTCGCGAAGTCACCAAGATGGAATCATAAAATGAAATTCAGTGATATTCATAGTTTCACAACGGCATCGCATTGTACTCGCCTAAAGATTCCTTTGATAGGTAATATGAAGGGCGAAGCCAAATCACTGATACAGATAATCATCAATCACTGAACAAAGTTCAAACTCGCGACTGCAGCTTGCACGAAAAATGCTGTCACCGCGGTCATAACAATGGAATTGTAATACGAAATTCACTGGTTTCACAACGGCGTCGTACTTCGCTTACAAAGAACAACCCATTAATGTATGATATGATGGATGAATCACACAACTGATGCAGTTGACCACTGTCCAGGTACACAAATTCAATGACGCGACTGCAGGATCGAGCGCTTATACCAAGCAATTAACAGTCTGCGCCAAATCGTTCCATTCCGAACTAAGTTTAATTATCCTGAAACTATGGGGGAAACATAGTAATACCCACAATGCTGATCTTTATAAACAGAAAATTTGCTCTGCGGCGAGTGGCATTTGATGACTGCTGTGACGATATCGATGGCGTTTTATTATGTAACCCCGATATTGATAGCATTTTAACATGTAGCCACGTCCGTCGTGTCACTCATGCCCTTTATGAAGCGATGCCCCACTTGGAGTAGGAGGACGAATTATGTTGTAGATCATACTTTTAAATGACCTGATAATTTTTGGAGTAAATCAAATAGTTGTACTTTCCATGAAAATAGCATAGAGTTATTTATTATTAAAGCAAAACGCCGGAGAGGTTTTGACAAATTTTAATTATATATCAGCCAAATGAATGCGTTCATACTGTTTTCGCTCATAAATGGTGTGAAGTAAATAGTTTTATGGTCAGTTGCAGCACATCGTTATTCCAACTATGCCTTCATAACATAGAATTTAAATAATTCCCAAAGAATATTTGCCTTAGCCCTGCCGAATCTTTATAGCAAAGGCAGATACAACTTAAAAGCAACTGAATTTTTCTGTTGAATCTCGAGGATATTTTAAGGCGAGATGTTTCCTAAAAATTCATCATAAAATGAACCGATGTCTGGTCACTATAAGACGATGTCGTTGGATGATCTCAAGGTTTAGTTAAAAGTTATGACCTTTTTGCTCGAAGCAATAGTAAACTTATGCATAAACCGAAATTTCAGAAATGCGATTCCATCATATAAACAACAATTCTCACAGTCAGACGTTAATAATATATAAATGGATAGATAAAAAGAAAGAATGAAGACATAAGTACAATTTTTGCTTAACTTTGAATCCATACCTCTTCTCATGATTGTTTTGTAAAAGTTCAACAATTTAAACGTGTCTTCGGTGTAACGTGCTAGCAATGCATCTTCCAGATCTGCAGTAAAAGCGTTAAAGCTTTTACATACATGTTGTTTTGCCAAAAGTAGGCTTTTCTAAAGGTAATCCTCTAATTGAATCCGTTACAAAACTCATATAATGGCATTCAATGAACAGCATTTGCATCTATTTTTACATAAAAGCTTAAGGACTAGAGTGAAATCGTCCTTTGACTACAGTCTACATATCGCAGTTGACTATCATCATGTTTTTAGAGACAAATGATGACTGTAACCAAAATTTTGCCATCTGAGTTTGCATTCAGATTTAAAATTCGTGAGTATCAATACTAATGCCCCTTGTCTGCCTATCGAGTCGTATTCGCAACGAACTTTCATGGTCGCCCCAGAGTCTGACGATAAGCTCTACGCTGCTGCGTCATAACAAGCGATTCAGTACTTTAATCATTAAGTACGCTGCCAGAGGTTGCATTCACACGGAATGGTTTGTGTGTCATATATGTGCAACTTGCGATGAGGTCTTCTTCATCTCAACGCCAATAACCGATAAAAATAAATAAAAAGCTACACATTTCCAAGCTACACATATCACTCTGCTTTCTCACTTATCACTCGTATTCATAGTAAGCATTAGTCCATTAATTCATTCATTTGCATGTTTGTGCGTATGCAAAGTGCAAGAACAAGCGTTTTTCTTACTTTTGTTTGGATCAGGTTCGTGTCCAAGAACTTTCCGAATGTTTATCATTGATGGTATAAGACCGTCACGCGAAAAAAGCAGCTTCAACCAGGAAAAAGCCGTTGCTGAAAATCGGGCTGACATTTAACAAAATAGACCGATCACACTCACTCGCTTCCTCAGGCAGAGGCCTCGCCTGGCCTGAGATCAGACACAGGCAAAATGCGCAGCACAACAGCAAAGCCATGCTTTCGTTATGGAAAGAAGGACGCTATTCAATCGTTGGCGTACCAGCTCGGATTCGACGCGTGCGTCCTCGGTTTGGGCGTCCGCACGTTTGCTGATTTGGCGGAGGTGAGGCGAGCGAACTGACCGGTGACGTGAGTTAACGACAGTGACTCACAGTGCACATAAACAAAAGAACGCAAGTCTTGAGAACTATTTTCCTGCTGTCTGTTCGACACCATAACTGGCATCGTGCAACGACTACGTCGATGACAGGTGATCCTGTTTTTCATTGCCTGTATCCAATCTATTTGTATTCGTTCACGATAGCATGCAACTCGCTAGTTACTGGTCTCGTCTATTATTGCTTGTACGCTTCGCGTCTTCGTATGAAAAAATGTCGGCGATACACACTGTCGCACACGTGAACTACATATTTGACGATAGGCGCATTTTCGCGCTGGCACATACCTTTCTTAGACTGCTTATAGCCAGCAGCTAACTGTGCAGCGCAGTGACATCTGTCTAACTCACTCACAATTACGCGATAACCCAGTTTGAGTCACTCACTTCCCTATCACTTGACAGAACCACCTTTCGCTGCGATGCTCACTTCAAAAGTAAAACTGGTTTCAATAAAAATTTTAGTACAGCTGGAATGACTATTATAGCAAAGACTGAAATAAATTTATTACGGAAAAATATTCTATTTTGTGATTGAATGGATTAGTAAATTAAACTGCACTATAAACAGCTGCCATAATGTGGTATTTCTTTTGAGAAAAACTTGATCTTCAGCAGGCCTTCTTGAACAGGTTAAGATGCTAAAGTCACAAGAATTTATATAATAGTATGTAATAATAATATGCAATATATTACATATATTACATAAATAATAATATGTAATATGTAATAATT